TTTTTGATATCCGTCTTGTAGGAAAAAAGAGCCGACCAAGGGCAAAATGGATGCATGTTGTTATCCTTGAAGTGATTGACTTGATCTTGAAGGAGCTGGGGGTGGGATCTCTGGCGTGGGCTGGTCCATGAGGTCCTGAAGAGTTGGAAGCGACTGAATGAATAAACATTCAGTCGCTTGTAGGGCAATGATTTCTATAGATTTTAGTTCAGAGATATTTTGCTAAATGAGTCAAAGAGGAGATTGTTCTTTTGCATATGGGAAATAGCAGTGACGCCTTCTATACTGGTCATATATGAAAAGCTTTTGGAATACGGAGCAACACCTGAGTTTAAGAAATGTGGAATGTAATGGGACAGGCCAAGAAGAGGCGATGCAGGGTTTCTCTTGGCTGGCAGTACTAGTGCTCTTTACACAAGGAAATATAGTAGTATAGTAGTTTAGGGAAAGCTGCATGGCACGCAGGGCTGTGTGGAGGTTTGAGAGGAATGCCAACGCTCTGAATAGTTGTGCCAGTGCCTCTGCAGCCCTTCCCCAGTTTCTGCTCCCTGAAATAGCTTCCCCCTTTGATTTATGGTAGAGGCAGCCCTGCTTCTTCATGTGCCAGTTTTCCCCCAGTAGCACTTGCAGCCCTACAGCATTACACTTGGTTGTCTGTTTACTAGAAAGCCCTGAAGAAATGTTTTACTGAATGTGTCTAGCGGGTTGGGGTCATGTTGATGTAAGGCTGCCATGTCTCCAGAGACTGAGGAGGCATCTATACTTCCATTTGACATCACTTTAACTACCATGGCTCAATGCTATGGAGAGTTTAGTTTTTGATTAGGAACTAGCACTCTTGACAGAAAAGGCGAAGGACCTTGTAAAACTAGACTCCATACCTCCACAGTATTGAGCCATGTCAGTTAAAGTGGTGTCAAACTAAGTTACTTCTACGGTGTGAATGCACCCTTACTTTTCAAACCAAAAGGCAAACCTGTATTTGGTTATGCTAGTTCAATGTTCTTTTCTCATCTAAACGAGGCCATAAATATACGTTCAGCCTTGCAAATAAATCCAGGAAAGTTACTAGTGGACCACATTTTCCACCTGATCCACCTGTCAATGCATGCAAATGTAAATTATTAGTGGGATTTTAATAGTTGTAAGAAAGCATGTTTTCTCCTAATTCAAGTATTGAAAAGATCCCAGTCTGCTCACCTAGAGGCACATCTTACCTGCCACAACCAGTAGTTAAAGGGGTATTTACAATATTGTAGCAGCTCAAGCCAGAGAAAAAAATACCATTTGCACTTCTGGGTGAGTGGTTCCTATTGCTAACAAATTACCAGTATCGCTCTTGTACTGTAGGTGGATTTGCAATTGTCTTTTTTGTGCTATTGGAGATATTGCATGGTTTATTCATATCTATCTTGTTACTTTCTAGCCAGTCTAGTCAATATGGGATAACTGCTATGGGAGAAAGCCATTTAAAATATATATCTTCAAGTATTTTTTTTTTGTTAAGCCAATATTTATTTAGTACTGATTGCCTATTTCTTTAAGCACCATTGCCCATTACAGCCCATTACTGGCAAAATACAAGCATTTAATGTTAAATTTGAACTGAAAACATAAGTAGCCAAATAAGAATGGAGCTGTGATGCCAAATTGATGATTATTAGAAAGGCCTTTTCTTTTACAATAGTATGAACAAATAAGTTCAATCAATAGATTTTAATTTAACAATATTTTAAAGGGCACATTCAAGTCTTCTCAAAACAACTTAATTAGCTACTATGTTGTCTTGAAGGCTGTGTCCAATTTACAGGGTGAATTTTTACCCACCCTTTTCCAACATGTGTAAATGGGTAAAGGAAAAGTTCATGGATTGATTAAAGTGCTGAAACTATTATGATACACTCTCTCTCACACACACACAAAAGTAGGAATTTGAAGCTTCCTGTGAATTGGGTTGCTGTGAGTTTTCCAAGCTATATGACCATGTTCCAGAAGCATTCTCTCTTGATGTTTCACCCACATTTATGGCAGACATCCTCAGAGGTTGTGAGGTCTGTTGGAAACTAGGCAAGTGGGGTTTATATATCTGTGGAATGTCCAAAGTGAGAGAAAGAGCCCTTGTCTGTTGGGAGCAAGTGTGAATGTTTCAATTGGCCAGCTTGATTAGCATTTAATGGCCTTACAGCTTCAAAATCTGGCTGGTTGCTGCCTGGGGAAAATCCTTTGTTAGGTGTTAGCTGGCCCTGATTGTTTCTTGTATGGAATTCCCCTGTTTTCTGAGTGTTGTTCTTTATTTACTGTGAATTTTGTAAATTTCTCCCTGAAATTGTAGCTGCCATTTAGAACTTCTTCAAGGCCAAGAAACACATGTGAAATTAAAAAAACACACACAAAGAGACCTAAGATGACACATTTAAGATGAACAACTATTATTGTGGTAGAAGCGATTGTGGAATTTAGCCTGTTTCACAATAAGTCTGTGTTGATGATTGGAAGCCATTATGCATTGGTCTGACTCTCCCACTCAACCATGGAAACCCACGGAGTGATCTTGGACAAGTCACATATTCTCATCTGCAGAAAAACATAACCTTAACATTATGAAAATTTGGAAAAAACTTAAAGCCCAATAGCAACAAGAATAACAACAACAACAACACTGTTGTTCCTTTCTTCCAGTGCAGAATTGTGGAGACTCATTATGACAACCATCATAGCTATTCAGTTAAGGAGAATAAATAGTTCCCTTTCCTCCAAGAGTTTATAGCAAATTAGTAGATTGCTAGATAAACTGAACTTTTAATTATTTATACTCAAATGATCTAAAATAACAACAGTAAAATCTCTATCCTAAAACAATAAAATATCTGAAACAAACAAACTGCAGAGTATGTATAAACCTAATTGTTAGTCCCAGTTAGAGGGGGCCCATTGAGCCAAAACAGCTTGTTAAGGTACATTTGTATAAATTTCATTGATTCAATGACTTAGTTTTATCAGGATTATCCATTAGATTTTTGACATGGGCTTTAATGCTAGTCATTGAATTCACTGGTCTTTACTTCTTATTGGATAGTTTAGTATGTAAAATACACAGCAGTTTTGACAAAAAAACCTTCAGTCAACTCAAATGCAAAACTTAAGCTTTTAATTAGAAATGGAAGGAGTCCTACAGAGAGGAATTGTCATTGAAATGGCCAATGTGAAAAAAGAAAAGCAGAACTTGAAATATTCATTAAATCAGGTGTAAAAGAATGACAAAATCTCAGGATATGTGAAACATTTTTGTCAAGTAATGTCAACATCTTGTCGAAGGCTTTCATGGTTGGAATCACTGAGTTGTTGTAGGTTATAGAACATGGCCATATAGCCTGAAAAAAAACCTACAATAACCTAATGTCAACATGTTTCATCCTGGAATATTTATTTTTCATCAGAGAGGGTTAAAATATACAGGTAGAGAAGGTGGAGCCGTGATGAAATAATCATGAAATAATCATGTATGAGTTTGTATGCCATACATGTATGCAAACTTTATGGAAAACACATCCATTCAGAAATGTTTTATTAAACAGGACAAAATGTAATACATATAAAACAATATTTGCAAAACCATTTGAAAATTGCCCTACAGGAATTTCAAAAAGAAGGTCTCCTTCCATAGCTTATACCTGGCAATTGAAAATTCTTAAAGAAACCATTTTAATGTTCCACGCCCAGATCCACAGGGATGCATTCCAAAACTATCTGTGGATAACTGAAACTGTGAATAATGGAGAAATATTTCTAAGTATTGCATACCATCCAACAGCCCCCGGTGGTGCAATGGGTTAAATCCTTGTGTTGGCAGGACTGCTGACCAAAAGGTCGGTGGTCCTAATCTCGGGAGCGAGGTGAGCGCTCGCCTGTCAGCTCCAGCTTCTCATGTGGGGACATGAGGGAATCCTCCCACAGGATTGTAAAACATCTGGGCATCCTCTGGCAATGTCCTTGCAGACAACCAATTCTCTCACACCAGAAGTGATTTGCAGTTTCTCAAGTGACTCCTGACACGAAAAAAAAATCTGAATGGGCAAGAATCCCTGATTAATCCCTTGTCATCCCAGTTTCACAGTTGTTTTTAAATTCCCAGTTTCTCTCTCTTAGGGCCCTTCTACATTGCCCTTATATTTCAGGATCTTATCCCAGATTATTTGTTTATCCCAGGTTATCTAGTAGTGGGGACTCGTATATTCCAGTTTAAAGCAGATCATCTGGGATCAGATCCTGGGATAAAGGGCAGTGTGGAAGGGCTCTTAGTCCCACTTTCCCCTTTTATCCTCAGTTACTTTATCTATTCCACAAAACTAGTTAGTGCTCCATTTACTCAGCGAGAGGATAGGAGGGAGCTGAATCTTGTGCTTCCCATTAATTTCAAGCTTGTAGAAAATTAGAGGTCATGTTGCCAGCATTTTTCTCAAAAGTAACATTTTTACGAAAACAAATTGATTAATGAGTAAAATATTCCAAGCCCTAGGAAGAAAACCTTGCATCAGTTCAGAAATATAGCACATTCCTCTCTAGACTCTCATTAGACTGAAGCTTATATATTCTCAGTAGATTAGATTCTGAATGCATTTTGTGTAGTCCGTATTCTTCACAGTCTATTCACAAAACACACCATTAATGAGTTGGATTCTGAACCTGCTTGTTTTCCATAGTTGTGCTCCAATGGGATGCTGGCCTCTTGCCCATTTGGAAGCAGCTTTAGTCTTGACATTAAATGAAGATAATCAGTGGTTCACAAATGCCACCTATGGAATAAATTCCCAGCTTTGTCCCACAAATTTCATATCTTTTCAGTTTCTGGAACGAATAGGTTCTTCTTTTACCAATACAAGAGAGAGACCATGGATAATTCCCCTTTGGACATCACACCTAAAATTATGCTGAAATGGTTTAAATAATAGCATCCTATTAGAAGATAAAAACTTTTTCCATCTGTAACTGCAGGTCAATAC